ATTAAAGTATTATTAGTAGTAAAGTATTATATAATATTATTTAGCTATTGTCATAGCTATATTATTATTGATGGTAGTGCTACCTTTCATGATGCAGAGCATAAGACATCCATGCATACTTGGTTCTCTTTGATTCTTGTCCATGTTTTCCATAAAGTCTACATAGAAAAACTAATTAATCTAATCCAATGCACAATCTATGGGGATTAGTACAGCACTTAAGCTATCCATATGTTACCAATCAATCAGTCAGCATCTATGAAGCACCTACTATGTGCTTTGCCCCTGAGGATACACAGACAAAAATAAACAATCTCTGACCTATAGTATTCTGGGAATTTATGTTCTGCTAGGGGAAGCAACATGCACATATACAAGTGAATACAAACTAATCTCAAGGGGCGCTACCATTTGGAGATATCGGGAGAGGCCTTGTATAGGCTATACAATTTGATCTGAACTTTTCTAGGGAATTTTAGAGACAGAGATAAGAAGGAATTGTATTCCAGATATGGTGGGATGTGGAATGTCATGGATGAGGAATTATAAGTAAGCTAGTTTGGCTGGACTATAGAGTGAAGGGAATTATAATCCTGTAAACATTGTGTGTTGTACAATAGAGACAGATTGTGAAAACCTTTAAATACCAAATACAAGTCTGATTTTAGAGGCAATAGGGAGCCACTGGAGTTTTTTGAGTAGGAGTGTCATAGTTAGACCTGTTACTTAGAAAAATTACTTGGATAACGGTATGAAAGATGAATTGGAGAAGGAAAGAAGCTGGATGTAGGGAGATCAGTTGGGAAGTTATTTCAATTGTCCAGGCAAGAATTGTCGGAGGCCTGAAATAGGGTGGTGGTTGTGTGAGTGAAATGAAGAGAAAGGAATTCAGAGATTTTGTGGGATTAGAATGGATAAAACTTGATACTTACTTATATAGTTTATCGGTCAGTGAGTAGAAAGTAAGAGTAGGGAGTGACTCAGAGGCCGCAAACCTGGGTGATCAAGAGAATGATAGTGCCCTTGAAAATGGTCCTCTATCATTCTTACTATATGACTGGCCCAACTCATTTGCTGATCATACCTCTCCTTGTTGATGCCATTTATGGGCACAAGTCAATCAATGTAGGAAACTCATTCTAGGACTCACCCAAGATGGATCTGTGATCTTGTTTATGTGAGTGTTCCCTCCAGTGATATAGACCATGCCCTTCCAGTCTTGCCTACTCTTGGCAGCTTTTTCTGGTCCATGCACTCTCTCCATGTCATCCCAAGTAGGAACAGAAGTGATTTTCTGTCTCTACTGCTTTAGAGATCATTTCTATCTTGCCTTTTTTGTACCTCCAGTGGATCAGATTGATGCTTATTTTTAAAGTTTCCTTATTAAGGATATGACAGGATTTCTTCCATCCTGTCAGGGCCAATGATTTACTTAAAAACAATAGCAACAATGTCCTATTTTTAAAATTATTTTTAAGATTGGGTCTCTATGTCTCATCCAAAGGAGAAGCGCAGGGGCTACTCGTTGGCCTAGTCCCACTCTGGTCACCATGAGCTTTGACCTGCTCCATTCCAGCTTTAGGCTACCTGGTGTCTCCATTCCTCTGGGGCTTGCCATATGAATGCCAAATTTAGTTTTGATTCTTAGTGGGTTTGACTCTATTATAGCTCAAAACTCCTGAGCTCAAGAGATCTTCTGGCCTCAGCAATAGGGATTTCAGACGTATGCCACCACACTCAGCCCCATGTACTATTTCTTATCACAGAATCTAAGGAAAAAACCAGCTTTACTTGTAGTGAATTAGTGCAAGGGACTTTATTTGACTACTTCTGTGGGAGAAGATCAAGGGAGAAGATCTGGGAAAAAGAAAGCTTTTAAGTAATCATGTTGTCAGTAGTAACATATACTTACTGGGCAGCTAGGTGGCTCAGTGGACAGAATACTGGATCAGGAAGACCCAAGTTAGAATCCAGCCTCAGACACTTAACTAATTGTGCGATCTTGGGCAAATTGATTAACTTCTCTTTGCCTTAATACACTGGAGAAGAAAATGGCAAACCACTCCAGTATCTTTTTGAAGATAAACAGGTTGGTGTGCTATGGTCCATGAGGTCACAAACATCTGTCTTTAGGACCCTGGACAGCTCTATGACTATGTTCAGCTAACTTAACCTCTCAGTGAGCTAGGCAACTCTCTAAGAGTCTAAGACATTAAACATTGTCTAATTATCTAAGACATTGCAGAGAAGGTGCCAACCTCCACTGGTGGAAGGAGGTTCCTCATTCTGGAATTCCCTATGCCCATGAAATCACACTTGTTTCCCTGTTCCTTACTGTGGGGTTCAGTGGCTTTGACCAGCCTAACTTTCCCTGGTCCAGTCAGTAAATGAGTGCTGATTCACTCAGAGCCAAATGGACATGAAGTACTCTTGGACCTGCCATTTATGAATGGCTACAAATCCTTTGCCCTGTGCTCTGGCTCCACCCTTGTGTTTTTGCAGCCTTTTGGAATGAGGTCAGGTTTGGGATCTGCCTGCTTATCTCTCCCATGACAGTCCAGCTCAAGATTAATCTTAAGCCATTTGTTTTGCTGTTTCCCTCAGCCAACAGGAGGGGGAAAAACCCCCGCTGAGGTCTGGTTTTTTTTTTATGAATGGATGAATGAATGAGCATGATGTAACAGGCTAAGAGAGCCTGTCTCACAGATTAGCATGAAGAGACTGTGGTTGACAGACAACAGTGATCTATTTAAATTCTACTCAAGTGCAACTTAATTGTAAAATCAAAGAAACCAACCTAAAATATTAAAAGCCCCGAGGCCTGGTTTAACATTTTCTCTCATAAATAGGGTTTGTCAAGTGGCTGAAAAAGTTCTCCTTCCATTTGCAATGGGTGGTTCTTATGCTATGATTTCCTTTTTGCTCTCTGTCTTCCGGCTCCCTGTTAATGCAGTTGGTTTTTGCCAGACTAGTTTGTGAATTCTAGCATGAATTCCCATTGAATTCTTAGCCTTGGCAAACATCCTGTTCAGGTGAAAGACATTAAATTGATAATTTAGCATGGTTTTCCATGGCATGTAGGTATGTATGAGTCTCTATTGCATATATGTATACAATAATGATAACTTGGCATCCATTATCTGACTTGATCAAACACCCACTCTGTGAATTACACAGAGCAAGTGTTATGTTTTATAGATGAAGAAACTGAGGCTCAAACAAGCTTAAGTTAAAGATCAAATGAGATAACATATGTAAAGTGTTTCACAAATCTTAAAGCCTTTATCAATGTTCTATTGTTACTAAATGACTTGCCCAGGATCACACAGTGTGAAAGAAAATTTGAACCTAGGTTTTCCTGACCATATCCAGAATTCTATCCAGTATGGCACTTAGGTCTGTACTAGAGTGTAAGACCATGAAAGACAGAGATCAGAGACTTTTTAGAATTATAGTATTCCAGAGATTGGAAGGAATGTAAAAATCAATTTAACTTTCCTTTTATAGGAATAATTCAGCTTTAGGAATATAAAATATTTTCCTGCATGATGCTGCATAATAATTATGTATATTTGAGCTGTTATGCAAATATGTGTTGTATGAATGTGTGTGAAGAAGAAAGTGAGGAAGGCTCTAAGTATGTTGGGCCAACTCCCTGTGGCAATCTTATAGGAAGACATAGGGAAAAGTCCCGTTGAATGAGAGGATGTGGGTGGATTGTAATTTACATCGATGGGAATAATATCCATATGGATGAGATCATGGATCCATCTGATTATTTGAGTATGTATGCAGGTTAATGTTTTCTAAATGGGGCCTAAAGATGAGCTTCCTGCAATTCACATTAATAGTCTTGCCTCTATGCTCAATAGCTGAGGCGGCTACGGTCAGCAAAATCTGAGTTCAAGTCTGGACTCAGATGCTTGTTGTGTGACCCTGGGCAACTCCTTCTCTGTAAGATGAGGATAACAGTAGCACCTACCTTCTAGGGTTGTTGTGAGGATCAAATGAGATTATATTCTTAAATCTTTGCAAACCTTAAAGCATTATGTAAATGCTAGCTATTGTTATTATCCAAATATAAATTTTCACCAAATTTCCACTTGTTATACTGTCTTTATTTGTAGTCTCTGTTTTAGTGATTAGTTAGAATGGTAAAATAATGAGGCCATATCATAGTTCAGATACTGAGAAATTCTGCTGTGACCCCTTTTGGGAAGGATTGAGGATGTCAGAACAGCCTGAGCAAATTGAAAGCTCTGTGTGTGTACGTGCCTAGATGAATGCACTTGTATAATATGATGCACTAATAGGAAAAGTTTATGTATATGCAAAGTAATGATCTGCCTATGAACTAGCCTAAAATGTAAGTTGTACTCCTAGAATGATTTATTTTGGAAATAATCAATCATCCAGCATTTATTAAGCACTTATGATTTTATAGACACTGAGATAGGGGCTACCAAAAAAAAAAAAAAGAACTAACAAACCACCCTTATTCCTCAGCAGCTTACAAAAATACACATGGTAGAAGAGTATGCACTGAAAAAATTAATTGTGATCATAGTCCACACTCAGGTTTTGTCTTAGGCAGATTTCAGTCCAATACAGTTATACACATCCACATATCTATAATTACAATTTGAGATAAAACTGTGAAGCCGCTTCCATCTTCAACCTAAGAGAGCTTGTCCAGTATAAAGAACAGACCACTTAGGAAAGTTTATCTTCTAAAATGAATGAATCTGCTTCAGAAGAATTTACCTTTCAGAAAGCATCTGTCTCTCCTACATCAGTGGGACAGGCTACTTTTTCAAATATAATGAAGCAAGGATAATGTTATTTATGGAAATGTGTGGTCCATAGGACTGCACTCCCAAAGCCCCCAGACAAAACAATAGGCCATTAAAATGGATGATGCCAGTGTTCTGCATGTGTCGGAGCATGATTGGCCTGTAATCAGCTCTACAGTGATGATTCTGTTTTCTCTTCTCTTACAGGTCGTCTTAGTCTTTGCTCTTAGCATTGGGGCCCTTGTCATATACTTCATAGATTCGTCAAAGTGAGTATTCTCATACATTTTCTTCTCCCTTTTTTCTAAAACAATGACTAACCTTTAAAGTACCCAGTTTTTATCCCCTTGACGTTTGACTTAACTAGTTTCCTGATTGTGAGAAGAGGGCAGGGATGCTCCGTGTTGGCGTGGATGGCAAAGCTTTGGGGAAGATGGTTAGAGCCTTGTGCATTGACTTGGCTGGGGTAGGAGGAGAAGAGAGAGACTTAGATGCCTGAGATGTTCCACCCCTCCCCAACTTTGAGTGTTGGCTCTAGGTTAGGGTTTGCTGAGCTGCTTTTTGAAGCAAAATTTAAACTAAAAAAAAAGGCAAGAGGAAAGGGGCTTTTAAGGTGAATCTGTTGCCCAAAGGAGACTCACCAGGAGGGTTTCTGCTGTAAGTAATTTGGAAGTAACGTGGCTGTTGCTTTTATAGGTTAATTTCCTTATTTAGGATTTCCTTGTATTCCTAATGTTTAGGGTAACACCTGGTAAGAATAAAATTATTCTTTTTGCCTTTCACACTGAATTAAAAGCCAAAGTGTCTCCCAGTGAGTCTCTTGGTGCCTAAAGGAAAGGGGCACTATACACTGACACAGGAGCTCTTGGGGATGGATAGAGGTCAAAACCACCTTCCCCCAAAAGTTCTGAATATGGAAATTATGCCACCATACGAGGAGGTTGTTAAACCTCCCTGACCCTTAAGCCTGTGTCAAGCATTATGTGCTGAGGTAGCTGAAGGCAAATGAATATGGAATACAGTCTCACTATTTGTGGGCTTACCATAATTCAGTTCTGGCTCAAATGACAGCTACCCTTGGCAGCCGCAATTCTTCTGACTATTCTAGTTGAAACTTTCAAAGTGACAGCAAACCTGCTGGGCAAGACCTGGGATGGAATCTCATTATCCTTGGATGGTGCTTGCCTTTCTTGCAATTCCCAAACCCAAGAACTGTGCTTGGGGATCTTCTCCTTCATTTGTCCACTGTGAAGTTATTTCCTGAGCCCCATTCTCTCTATCCAACATTTTCATTATTGAAAAATCTTCAGTTCTTGGGGAGCCTATTTTGTGTGAGAATTGGTTCAGGCCTCAGCATTCCTAAGCCCCACATTCAGCATTGTTTCTGAAAGGAACTCTGCTCAATGCCTATAAATCGACCTATTTGACATGTTTTCATTCAACAATCAACAAGCTCTGACTGAGTGCTGGGGATACAAAGAAAAGCAAAAAATAAGGGCCCTGCCCTCAAGGAGCTCACAATCTAATGGAGGAGACAACGCACAAATAACATCCACGTACAAGAATACACAAGATAAATGGAAGAGTGTATCGGAGGGAGCTTAAAAGCTACCTCAGGGTCTCTGCATTTATATACAGCGCTCAAGAAACCATTGCAGGGATCAAAAAAGAAATAGAAGATTCCTGTTTTGTTCTCAGAACAAAATTGTTCTAGGCTAGGGAAAAACAGCATCCAGAGTCCTCTGACTACTAGAGGTTATTCAGCCTAACCCCCCTCCCATGAGGCTGGACCATATATCTATAACTTGATTTAGTCAGGCAGAATTCCATCAGACATCAGATGCTGATTAAGAAGGAACAGAGCTGCTTAAGGCCTGGAGGAATGCAGATTCCTAGTTTGGGAAAGGTAAGTTGTTTTAAAATATTTATCATATTTGTTTTCTTATCCTTTTTGCTTGTTGAAATTTTGCTAAGTCCCTTTTCTTTTTTCTCCACCTTATCTTTAGAGATAAGAGGGTGTGTCTTTAATATCTCCCATCGTCTCTGCCACCACACCCCTTGTTTGTGCTCAGGAAGTCAGTCTCATCTTCCAGGAATGTGGGTCTCTTTATGCAGGAGAGTGTTGGAATTGGATGACTATTGGAACTAGAAGGATGAATGGATGGCCAGCTTGCTCTTTCCTGGACCATTTTCTTTTCTGTTTTCTCTCTTGTTTTGTTATTAGAAATAAAATTATGATCCTTATTGACAAACAATTGAAATGTTGTCCTTCTTTATAGCATCTCATAGCATGAACCCCATTCCCTGGAAAGCCAGACTTTGCCTTTGACTCATGGGAAGTGGCAGAAGAGAAGGGATATTTGGAAACAAAAACTCTCTCTTCCAAATACCCTACCCCATCCTATACCTAGCCTCTGGAAGGAACTGAAGAGCAAAGAGGGTTGGGGTCCTCTCTGATTCTATTTTCCCTCATAAAACAGATAAGATTCTATCTTAAGGACCCTTAGACAATTATTGGCAGTATCTGCACTGTAAAATTAGTCCTGAATTTCCTGCAGTTTTACTGGTAACTATTCTGAACACTTATCCAGAGTGGTATAATTGCACAAGTTCTGTCGATTTTAAATGAAAACTCTTAGATAGCTGGGGTGTAATCAAAAGAGCACTGGCATTAGGCTCAGAAGGCCTGGGTTGGTGTTACTTGCTATTTCTGTGACCCTGGACAAGTTGCTTTATCTCTCAACTACAGTTTCCTCATCCATAAACTTGGGCTCATAATACTGACGATACTCATCTCACAGGGTTGTTATGAGAATCAAATGAGAGTGCTTTGTAAACCATAAAGAGCTATATAACTATGTGCATGTAAAACACTTTGTAAAGTACTGTCCACATGTAGATCACCACACAGCAGTGACGTCTCATCTGCCCGAAGACAGTCCTTCAGCCTAGCCCTAGTCCTTTCTTTCCCCGGGCACACTTGATCCTTCTTACTTTAGTGGTGGAATGGCGTTGAATCGAGGATTTCATTTGTATAGGGAACAATGTGGTCCCATGGCATTCAACTCCCTTCAACAACATAACTACCAACTAGTCCATAACTCATAGTTTTAGAGGGGCCTTGGTATGCTTAGAGGCCTGGTGGACAGCCAGCCAGACTTGGAGCCAGAAGACCTGTGTTTATGTCTTGTGACTGACATTTATGAGTTGTGTGAAGGTGGGCAAGTCACCCAACCTTTTAGGTCTATTATTAATAATACTGTGCAATCATTGAGCCCTTTCTTGTATCTTTGACTTTTAATTGTTTTTTCAAGAACACAGTAATACCAGAGTCAGCACAGTTATCTCCTTCATCCTCCTTGGAAAAGCATAATGGTAGCTCATACACTGAATGGATGGCTGTCCTCTTGGAGGTTCATAACTTTAAAATGTTGATTAAAAATCATGTAAAAAGGCTAACTGTGTGGAGTAGATTATAAGTGAGCCCAAACTTAGAGCAATTAATAATGATATAAAAAAACTTGATCAAGAAAAAAGAAAACTTTTCAGTCAAGAAGTGAAGCTAAGACACACACACACATACACACACACACACACACATATGTATGCACATGCATAGTCTATGGAAGTTGAATGAAAGAACAGAGTCAAAGTGAAGAACATTGGAATATCCAGTTGTCTTATCCTAAGCCACATTAGAACTTATTCATTCATGGTTAATGTGCCCTGGCTACATACTGGAAGCCAATCTTTATAATATTTAAACATCTCAGATATAAAATAGACTGGAAAATCCCTGCTAGCAGCAGTAGCAAATTCTTAATTTCTGTGACAAAGGCATAGAGAGTGCAGATTAGCTCACTCTGGGCCTATTTGGTGGATAAATAATAAGAATAATAATGTATAACTTTTAAATAGCCTTCTACGATTTGTAGATCACTTTACATCTATTGCCTCATTTGATCTATCTTAGATGTTTTTGCTATTTAAGTGTTTACTGAGATATTGTGATGGAAGCCATACTAATCAAAAGATGCATTGTTCAGAGTTACTGGACTTTTCTTGGTGTCCATTAGGTAGTGCGGTGAGATTTTTAAGTGAGCTATATTTTTTTGTTTGTTTCTTTGGTATCGACTTTCAAAATTCTCACAAGACCTCAAAGAGCCAATGGATTAATGATTTCCATTCACTTTCATCCCTGCAGTCCTGCCCAATCAGCAGTTCCATTTCCTTGTTAGCTTATGATAGGACCCAGGAGAATATTGTGTCAAAGACCCTCTAAACTGGAAAGACGTTCCTGGAGTTCTTTAAGGATAGTCCAATGCTGTAGATTCTAGAAGTAAACAAGTAGCTAAGACAGGCTTAGCTAGGGTTCTAGGAACCAACCTAGCCAAAGAGAATAACTCTATAATCTGTTAAAATACACTTCAGTGCAGGAATATGCTTTTTAATCATACATAGGGAGATATTCTCCTGTGTGTTTAGTTATAGGTTTACTATGACCTCTAACAAGTACAAAAAGGCTTCATCAATTAGTTGTTGTTTTGTTTTTTTTTAACACAAATTCTGTCAAAATATAGTTTTAACTCTGTCCCTTTTACTCTTCATTTTCTCTTAGGGCTTTGAGTTAAATTCAGGAGCCAGTCAGTTCTACCTTCTACTTGCTTTTATTCCCTAGTGTTTTTGTTACCACTGATGACCCTTTTTTCTAGCACACTGTAATGTTCCATAACAGAGATTTTTATTTTTTTTTACACTGTACAGCCAAGTCCAAAATGCCCCCTGGAACACATCCAGGTGATAAAGTCACTATCACTCTTCCATCCCTGAATTCCCCCCTAGACACAGAACCAATAATTCCTTTCTAATAGATAAGGGGGAGAAACACAACTGTTCCAGAAAGAGGGTAGAATTCATGAATTGTATAATAGGAAGCCAGTGCTGCTTGCAGAATTTCAATAGGAAGCCAGAAGCTGTAAGAAAGGGGGACAGCTTGGAGTCCTTGGGATTTGCATCCTTTCAGTAGCATTGTGGGCAATGATGATTCACACATGTGAAGATATTAATTCCTTTGATTAATGTTTAAATTCAGGTCCCTCTCATGCTACAGCTACATGGATTATGAATATTTAATAATGCATATACTTAAAGTGAAGGTCAGGGCCTGATCACCGGTGACTTCAATGAAGCTTAACATCTCAGTGAGGCAAGCAACCCGCTGTTAGAGTAGAACTGAAAGGTTATAAGTTGTTAAAATTGTCTCTAATGG